GTGGATTTGGCCTCCCTTCATACCTATGCCTTTGAGGAAAGGCTCATCCAGTTCTATCAGCGCGGGGCCTGTCACTTCTTCCACACGTAGTTTTTCTACATACTCTTTCTTTATTCCAGTAGATTCTAGCCAACATTGGACGTGGTTCTCATCCCATTCATTCACAGGTAATGTTCTGAAATCTACAAGTTAAAATTATGTAGTAGTAATACAAACTAAAAACATGTCAACATGCTTGACAAGACATGATAATCCTTGCAACCTGGCCACACCAAATGCTAGATCGTTTTCTTTCTGCCAGTCACAGCGAGAGACTGTGTCTGAACTTCTCAAATACATCAGTTCTGATGGCTAAAACCATCCTCAGTCAGAAGCAGTCCTAAGGAGTGGTACAGGACTATGAGATCAGTGAAGCAAGACACCATGATGGAGGTTTGGTAAGTATCCTCAAAGGGAGTCCTGGAACTAGCCCAAGATGTTTTTTGAAGGGAGTGATGTGAAAAGGTGATTGGAACTGACAGGGGCTGAATTCTCTGAACTAGAGAGGTTTGGGTAAATCATTTACCCACTTGAGTCCGAGACTCTCTGCTGTATGAGGATAGCATCAGTACAAACCATAAGATGATGTTAAGAGTACCAATTAGTTCCCCACTAGAGATGAACCCTTAAAATGTAGATATCAAAAAGCAAATTGCTACATATAAAGTACAAATTTTCTGAAAGCAACACATACCCATTGCCTTTGATGAGGGAAATGCAGCTGTTAGCGAACAAAACCCTAGAGGGCGAAAAAACACAACCTGTCAGATTTACAGTTAACGTTCCTGTGAGTTAAAGCTGACTTGTTCTGTTTTCCCAAGGCCCACCTCACCTTTGTGGTCTGAGGTAGTTCCTGTACCTCTAAAAGCTGCACTGCTTCGGTACGCCTGCCCTGAGTGAGGGCAGCTGTGCTTGCTTCTGACACGCGTGTGTGCGAAGGCGATGGGGTTTTGCTGGAGAAGCACGCGCTGATGGCTGTGCCCGTCTAGCAGCTACTTCTGTTGGATACTGGAGAAGAGCAGGCCCAGCTCTGCTGTCTCCCCAAGGCTGTACAGTAGCTTGTGCTTTTTAGTCCTGTCTTTTTCTCACTCACACTCCCTTTCCCTGCCTCTTTCTCCTCCCACTCCTTTTTTCCTCCCTTTTTTTGGTGTGTATTCTCTCTGCTTTTTTCCTCCCTCTCGTTTTCCGTATTCATTCTGCTGCCCACTGGATTTTCCATGAAGCAGTTCAACTCACTGCCCAACCCAGCAGGAGATTTTCTTTTTAGTGGGGTGTCCTGGCCTGACACATGACAGCCTCTGCCTTGCTGAGGCTCAGCTGCTGGGTACAGAGATGGACTGCAGCCGGGACAGCCAGCTCTGTGCTGCTGGAGGAAACGTGTGAGAAGCCTGCCCAGCGTGACACCAGAAATCTACCGTAGATTCACACAGGGAGCAGTAACCACCCATGACCTAGGGCCAAGCCCACGAGGGTCACAGCGAGAGGGGGCCATCCCTGCAGCGGGTGGTGGGGCAACAGCGGCACTCGCTGCCTCTGAATTCAGGTGTGAACAGAGCAGGCACCAGTGCAGCCAGCGTGAAAGCCAGCTGTGGGGCTTCGGGCAAGCTCCCTGCCGCCGCGGAAAGCACAGCGGCAGTAACTGAGGGCAGGCGACGCGTGCTCCTGCCCCGGGAACACGGCTCGGCAAGAGGTGAGCTCGCAGACGGTGGCGGTGCGGGAAGGTGCTGGGTCTGGGAGAACGGGGTGCGAGGAGGAAACGATGTGGAGCAAGTGAGTATTTACCACTACAGCACCCGGTCAGCCCTGTAGCAAGCCTGCGGGCTGACCGAGGCACCAGCATGCCCGACAGCTTCGGGCTAAGCTTTTGGCTGTGAAAGGGGTTTTTCTTGGAAATGAAAATGTTTGGTGACCAATTCCCGCTGACATCTGGTGCAGCCTCCCTGAGAAACGGGGCTAAAAATGTCCCCGAAATACTGGCCTTTCAGTGCCTTCGGCTGCTGTCCCACCTCCCGGGGCTGTGCTTGTACCGTGGCTCGGCTTGCGGTGAACCACCCCGCCCCG